CTTGCTATGTTTAGTCATAATGTAACAATTTGAAAAGTTACTATACAGCCCTGACTTAAAAATGGCACTCATTTTTCTTGTTACGAAAGTCTTCCAATAGGATACAATGTTCAAATGAATTTAGGTTTAACTCTCACATGAGATGCTGTGTCACGCAATGGTCAGCAACAAGATTATGTGGTGGCCTGAATGTGTGGACGTGTACAGCGACCCCTCCCCCAGGAAATATCGCCCTTGGCAGCCCAGTGAAATTCGCCTTTCGCCTATTCTTGTTCTGTCGCGTTTGAGAGTATCATTTTGACCTTTTAAAAATCGTTTTAGGGTGCATCTGGTAAAGCCGACGAAAAGGAAGCAAATACAGCCGTCCCAACTGACTTAAAAATCGATCCCAGTTTGCCTCCAGAAGGATTTATGGACCATCTTGTTCAACATTTGAAAGGCTTAGACCTTCAAAGTGAAACAACAGCAGTTGAACATCACATCACCCTAGATCTGTGGGACTTCGCTGGTCAACATCTTTACTATGCATCTTACCCAGTTTTTTTATCGACGCGGGCAGTTTATATGCTCGTGTACAACCTCAGCAAAGGTTTAAAGGAAACCGCTCAGCCTTGTTTCCGACAAGGAGTCCATGAAATTCTTCTCGCTAATCCAAATAACGAAAACAATTTGGAAAATTTGTTGTCGTGGCTGGTGTCTCTCAGTTCTATGTTTTCATTAAAACCAGACGTGAGTGAAAGGACAACAAAATTGGAGGATCTGCCTTACTGTCGCCCTCCAGTGTTTATTGTAGGAACACATGCAGATGAACCACATCAAGACATCAAGGAAATGGAATTGCAGATTCAAAGAGAAATAAGTGGAAAGGACTATGAAAGCCATGTGGTCCGTCCGTTCTTTTCAGTCGATAATACCCAAGGTTCATCTGATGACGGAGTTGCCGCACTTCAGAAACGAATGATTGAAGTTTTAAAACAAGAACCATACATGGGAGAGGAGGTACCAATTCGGTAAGTTTTTAGTCAAGAGAAACTCTTGCTCCATATTATTTCTTGACGATTATATTATACATAATGGTTATACCACAGGCAGCCCTTCACCCTACGGTTGTACTATAACAGTAGTGGGTCGCGATGAATAAGATCTACCTCGTTCTAAAGTAGATAATGGTTAGCCGTTCCGGCTTAAAAAGACGTCTTAACCGATTTGCTGCGAGTACAACAACAACAAATTTTATTGAAAATTGGATATACTATAACTAATTACATTTCTTTCCCACACGCAAATAGCTTATGAACTAGTCGAGGCGAGGGGAGCTCAAGACATATTACAAGTAAAAGGTTTATCTATAGATGGACTATATATATAATAACAGTAAAGACACTACTAAACAATAAATATAATAAACTAACATAAAACAAAGCAAGTACCTAAGGATTACGAAGAGGGACGGGAGACTTCGACATAATCATCTTCTGACAGCAAGAAATTTAGTAGTAATTCCTTTATCTTTTTACGAAAAGGCGTATTTTAATCGAATAAGGAATAGAGTTCCAAATTTGGAAACCGATTCTCGTGTAAAAGGTATACACGTTATCGGTTCCTGAGAACTTAACATAAAACGAGTCGCTAGAGACAGATCTTGTTTTCTAGTTATGAATCTGACTTGTTTTAACAAATTGATTGAGTATACTAACTGGTGCTGTCTGTCTGTTGATATGGTACAATAAATAGCTACAATCTCTGAAAAAATAGGCTAGGAAGGGGAACGCAATTCGATTTGAGAAAGAAGGGTACGGAGAGTTACGATCTTTCTTTGAAATGTCAAGGTACAGTTTCCCCAACCACAGATACCATAAGTTAAGTAGGGGCCAATTAATGAGTTGTTTTGTGACAGATAGATTCTATGTGATATTTCCATGAAAGATTTGAATCAATCATTGAGCCAAGATATTTTACATAGTCTTTCATTTCAAGGCTTGCGTAGGCGTTAGTCACGGAGTCAAGAGTTCTAATCCTAGGTATGAAGGGCATATTCTTTTGCCTTGGGCGAAAGATTACAAAGTTTGATTTCTTTATGTTCAGAGACAGTTTGCTTGCATTTAGCCATTCGTTGACGTTGCCAAGCCCTCGATTAGCAATTGATGCGAGTTCCTTTAAGTTGTTATTTGCAAGTATTATACTGGTATCGTCAGCAAATAGATAAAAGGCAAATAACGAATAGGATTTGTAAATATCATTGATGTAAAGTAGGCATAAGAGCGATCCGAGGACTGAGCCTTGTGGCACGCCGCACAAGGTCGTCTCAGCCTAAGCCACAATGTTATTGACTTCCGTAGTTTGCTTTCGATTAGTCAGGTATGATCTGAACCAGGAGTTGATTACACCTCTAATACCATAATTTTCAAGTTTAGCTAACAAAATCTCATGGTTAATAGTATCAAAAGTCTTCTTGAGATCGATGAAAACACCGCGCGAAAATTAACCGTTGTTCATATTTTGGAGAATAGTGTTAACAATGCCAAGTATAGCATAATGAGTACTTTGCTTACTGCAAAAGCCTTATTGCTGATCTTAGAGAATGTTGCAATCTTTGACAAACGTAGTAAGTCTGGAGTTCATAAGTTTTTCAAATATCCTGTCATAAATCGAGAGCAGTGATGTAGGCCGGTAGTTTTCGGGCAGAGTGTCATCTTCGTCCTTAAATACTGGAATAATCTTAGCACACTTTAGTTTAGATGGAAAAATCCCTAAGCAAATAGATTGTTTAGAAATCGTGGATAGCGGTACGAAAATGATCCTTTTTGCCAATTTGGAGATGAGTAGACTCCATGGGCCTTGTTGTCTTGCAAAATTGAAAGAGTGCGGCAACTGAGTCTACATCCGGGAAAATAGGGAGATCTATGCAGGACAGACTAAGAACAGCATGAATAGAATACCGGGATGCGATTCATCCGTACTCAGACCTTGGACATAGCTGAAAGCGCTCACTAAAAACGGCCGTTTATAGATCATTGCGCCCTCTCCAAAATCTGAACGTCTGGAACAGGCTAGTTTATAGTGCGTTTTCACTAACTTGGCCAGCGTTTATGCAAATTTATTGGCACAAACGAAAGCGAAAGTACACGAAAAGAGTTCAGCTCCCACAGGAGTGGTTTGGCACATCAACATGGCAGCCGTTTCATTGTTTTGAAACACCAATATGGCCGCCGTGACGTCATGCGAAATCTTCAGCTCTAACGGCCTCGTTTAGGATAGGGTGGAAAACCGCTTAGCTTATGTTATACAATATAATAACTTGGTCATCACCTGCTAATCTATCAGAGTACGGAAGAAGTTGACGTCACGAAGAATATATTTTCAGGTCTTATCCAGCACTTCCAGCACACTTAAATATGAATATACCGAGGTGACATTCGGATTTATGCCAAACCGGCGGAAAGGACAAGCAAGGTCTAATTTTTGCAGCGGATATACTCGCAACTTTTATTGCTACTTAAACTGACAATGCTTTCGCTAATAAGTTCTCGTTTATTATACGTAGCGAATATTGAATAAGGGAAAAAACGTGTTGCTGGCGGCAAAACCCGTTTCCTTAAATACCAGCGATTGTACGGTGCCGCGATATCCACTTTGCACCTAGCCAGCGAACAAAGCCGTCCCTTATCGCTCGTCAGCGCGGCTGGGGACGTTTCTTAGGAGAGAAACGAAACGTCCATAGGGGAGATTTCAGTGAGAAGAGAAGGCTTTATTCGCAGGCTGATTTGCACTGGTTTTGAGGATTAGATTTCAAGTTTGTGTCAACTGGTATAAAGTATTTTATTTGCTTAATTTAGTAGAAGAGATCAATCTTTAAGTGATGCTTAAACTTCGTCTTTAAGCTTTTGTTTTTTTCTATTTTTTTTTACCAGATGGTTTAATTTCGAGAAGGTTGTCCAAGCTTTGATTGCTGAAAAGGTACATTATTTAAACCTCCAACAACTTCAAGGTATTATCCAGAAAGTTTGCTTTATTGAAGACGAAGATGAGGTCGCCACTTTGTTGGATTTCTATCATGACCTCGGCATGATTGTCAGACAACGCAACACAGTTGTGCTTCGGGCTCAGTGGCTCATTAAGGTCATCAGGCAACTTATAACCATTCGTTCTTTTAACGAAATGGTAAGTGAAGCATATTCAAGTGTATAAGTGCCCTCCACGGAGAACACCATCCCACCCTGTTATAAATTCTTGTTATAAATTATTTATTTATTTATATTTACCTTAATGATGATTATCATGTTTTGATAATATCACACCCACTAAGACCAACTCGGCGTTTTCGTGATGGATTTTCTTTGTTGATATGTGCAGTCATAAAACTGGCTAAATATTAGTGAACCCTAGCAGGGACAATTAAATGTTTGCATTTAGCAAAGCTGCAGACAACATATCCGAAACATAACTTCATTGCAGTTTAGTGATTTTATGTGACATACGAGTTTTAGCTTACCTATACGACAAAACTTCTTATTTATGACGTCAACTTTATTAATGTGTTTCAGTGGAAAAAGTGTATTTATTTCACAAAAAAACTAAAACAAACAAACAAGCAAACAAAAACCCTTGCGATATTCCTTCGCCGACCTGCCTCGACCAGTGATTCTAGTCATCTGCTTCCAGCCGTCCCGTAATAGTTTGGAAGCTTCGGATCATATACATTTATTAATGCATCATGTTAGTACGTTATCTGAAGCTTTTTATTACCTCTCAAACTATTATGGGATTGTACTTTCGAGGCCCTTCTCTTTAAGTTCTTTAGGAACTTACTTCACCGTCAAATGTTTTTCCTAATCCAGACTGATTGTTTTAATACTAGTTTTCTTTTTCAACCATGTACTTTATTTAAATCCTTTTATATTTCTTCTGTTGTAGTACCTGAAAAAAAAAAAGATCCTGAGATTGTTCAGTAATAGGTTTGACGTTCTGAAAAATTTCCTTCTTTCGGTTTTGTTATAGGAACCGAAACATTCCAAGCTTTGGAAGGAAATGGAGACGACAGGCGCCCTCCACATGGAGTTGGTTGATCATGTGTTCTCCAAGCACTGCCAGCAGCAAGGCCTGATCAAGGAGGATATCCTGAACATGATGGAGCAGTTCGGATTGATCGTCAAATTTGCCACCTCGCCAACAAATGAAATGTACTTTGTACCCTGTCAACTGAAGACGCCACCTGACGCCCTTTGTGAAATGGAGCCATCACCGTCAGATCCATGTCCATTGTACCTGCATTTTCTGGGGGGTTTTGTTCCTCACGGTTTCTTCTGGCAGCTTGTGTCACGAATCACCAAATGGTGCTCTAAGAGTGGATTTACCCAGCCACCGAGATTTTTTCTTGCGGCTTCCAGGTTTGTCATAGAGAAGAAGTCAATTTATCAGCTGATTCTTTTGTGCAAAAAACGATTCATTAAGATCATCTTGACGCATTCAGAGCCAGCCGGTGGAGCATCATTTTCCGAAGCAAGAGAAATGGCGATTCTTGTGCGAACGTTCTTGGAAGAAACAGTACAGGACCTTAGACGTGAACTCCCCTGGTTGGGCAAATTGAAGTGTGATTTTTGTGTTGTATGTCCTGGCTGTCTGCGGAAGGAAGAAATGTGTTCTTATCACGATGTTGTTTCATGTGACCACGAGGACTGCCTGTGCCTTCTTAAGGCTCTCGAAGAAGGGCAACTCAGCCACTGTCCAAGTAGCCTAGACGTTAAAGTCCCGACGGTTTTCGGGCTGGAAAAATGGTTTGCAGCCAAAGGTTAGATAACTTGATACTTAATGGTACATTTACAAATGTAGGAAAAGGAAATTAGCCCTTATAGTCATTTCAGACGAAAGTAATAGTCACCAACAATAAAATTGGTTTTTCTATGTACTTGTTCCTTCGTGAAACGTTATTAATATTTACTTCAAAGTAACTTCACTTGCCAACCAGACACTACACTTTTGCTAGTTCAGGGAAAAGTTTTTGGGCCAGGCATCGACCAGTCGTGTTAGAGGATAAACAACGACTAGAAACTAAAAGTGGTGCTCGTTAATTGGTCGCAACTGACGGGGCGGTCGTATTTAAAGGTAAAAAGGTAAAGAGTCCATTAATATTTTAATTCGGTAGCTCGAAATTATTCATTGCAACTGACTGACAAAAACTTGGGGCCGACGGTGCGCTCATTTTGCCTGTTTCCCCCTCTCCAACAGTGCTCCGTTTTACGGGTATTTAATGCTACTTAAAGCTACTCGGAAAGGAAAGAAGTCGAAACAAAGATTTGAGGTCACACCTGGGAATCGAACGAGGAGCCTCCCGCACAGAAGGCTGTGCACTAGCCAACTGCGCTAATCTTCTCACCTTCCTCGTATTTACCAAGGGGACGTTAAAGATTAAGGGAATGGCTAACTGGACTTTTTGTTTAGGCCAAAAATGGGTTGATATAACGGGACGCCTATTCTCTTCTTCGTTAATATTTTACTGTTTTTACGTCGTTATCTCGATGTTCAACTCAGTTGTATAATCCTTATGAATAGGTATGCTAACGTTTTACAGTTATCTTTAAAATGGCCGCTGGACATTTTATCCTTTTTATTGCTTAGTAATTGCTATAGTCTAAGGCAGTATAGTTTTTGTTCATACATATCTATTTTACAGTCAGGTCAGGAATAGACAGCAGAAACATTTTAGTCGTTTTAACTTTCTCTTTTTTTGCCGCACAGTTGTCTGTCCAGGTTATCACCCTGGTACAGATGATGTTTACAACATGACAGCTCGACCAAGAGGAATAACGCTGATCATTAATAACGCATCTTTTGCTCATCATCCTAAACATGGACAACAGTCACCTCGTCACGGGTCCGAAGAAGATGTTCGTAAAGTTGAAGCGTTGTTTACTGATCTCGATTTTTCAGTACGAACGAAAGAGAACCTTTCAAGACGACAACTCTTGGACGAACTTGACTACATCTGCGCCCGTGAGGATCACAGTACTTATGATTGTTTTGTGCTGTGGCTAATGCGCCATGGCAAGAGTGGTGAGGTGTTCTGTTCTGACGGTAACACGATACCCATTCAAACTCTTGATGATATGTTCAGCAATTGCGAAACGCTAAGCGGTAAGCCAAAGCTGTTTTTCATCCAGGCGTGCAGAGGTGACGGAGAAGACGAGGGGGTGTCTAATGCCGCTAATACCACTATTTCATCTTACGAACTGCCTAGTCCCAACCAAGTTGATTCCCCCATTGACGCAGTGAAGAAACCTGCATCCAAGGTACCCACACATGCAGATTTTCTGTACGCATTTTCCACAGTGGATAAGTATGTATCGTACAGACATGAGGCTCTAGGAAGCTACTATGTTCGCGGCCTAGTTGAGGCATTACGTGAACGTGCGTTTTATGACCACCTTCTCGATATTTTAACAGTAGTCAACCAGAAAGTCAGCAACATGGAAGCCAAAATGCCATCTGTGGAGAACAAGAATGAAATCAAAATATTTAAGCAAATACCAGAGGTTAAACATACCTTACGGAAAAAAGTTGGTTTTTAG